TTGATTCGCAAATTTTTCTAACAGCTAACTCTGATAATGTTGGGGCTTTCATCTATAACAAAAAAGAAAAAAAACGCTATTATAAGATACTGTAATGCCCCCACGGAAGTGTGTCAAAACTGTTCGGAATTAAATAACGTTTGTCGTCATACGGACTTAAACTAATTTTTGTCTGTTCAACAGAATATACATTGTGTGCATACGACCTGATACAGCGTTGTGTAGCTGTTTTTTCCTTAAATTCTTTCAAACATTCAACATAATCCTCAAATGCAATTTTATTTTTAACAACATTGTACTTAACCCCTTCAGATTTTTTAACCACCTTCCCACCCTGCACCTTGTAACTATACATTTTGCTTCGAAGTCCAACAAAATGTGTCATAATTTTACCGTTATTTTCATCTTTCATTAGACCCGGTACCTTTTTGTTCTTACGCAGTATTTTATATAATGTTATTGTCAGGATAATCCGAAGTATCAAATTTACTGGAATCAGCTTTAATGATCTCCTCATATGCATCCTCACATTGCAATTCGTAGATAAAACTGTCTGTGTCCATGTACATGAGCTTACACCTTTCTGCACCCATTTTTGGTAGCATATAGGTGTAATGAAAATCATACATGACTACTTTCGATAGGTCTAGAATTGCCTGCCCTACATACAGAGGTTTGTTAAACGTTATTTCAGCCTTGTTCAATTCGATAACCACCAGATTTTCCTCTAAAATTGTGCGACTGTGGAACCGAAAACTCGAAATCAAGTTTGCTTCCCCCCTAGCGACCACCCCAAGATTTAACGATTTTACATACGCGGTGCTTATGTATATTTTCCATGGTCTTACCGAATACTGCATTATTCATTAATTTAAAAAGATTTTTTTCGAAATCATTCCGGGCTGCAGCTCTACATCGAGTATTCAACTCGATGTAGGGTTTCAGCCAGGCTGCTTGTTTAAATTGTAAAATTTTATGGATTTTCGTTAACTTTAACCCATTAGCTAGCATTTGTTTTAAATTTTTATAGTGAACCGTGTACTCTTTTTTATCCGTAAGTGTTGTCATTAATTTCGGCAATTTTACCCCGCCGTCGCTGGGTGGTACGCTACGTTCTGCCGCATACGGAAAATCTTTGTGTTTATCGTGCAGTTCTTGTGGGTACGATAGATCGACTTGTAGCACGTACCCTACGTCAGAGTCGTCGGGTATTGACATCACATCAAACGATGTTACATCATCTACCCATTTGAACCCTCCGTAGGGTAAGGGTTGCTGCATAGCATCCCCATATAAGTTATTCACATCCAGGTACATAAGGTACTTGGACGGCTTTTCAGTATCATATTTGGGCATATATTTATTGTTGGCCTCCGAAAATCGGTTGCTACACACCGAAATTCCACCTCTTATAGCATTTTCGTAAAACATCACCATATCTAGATCCTTTAGTAGTTCTAACTTTCACCCAGTGTATTTGAGCATACAGTCCCACGTATATCCGGGCATTGTATAGTACCACGCAGGATCCAGACCATAGGTGGAGAAACATTTTTTACGCAATTGCTCAAAAACGTCGGCAAGAAGCAGAATATCTGTTTTTAAATATATATCAGAATACTCTCCTAATGTTTTAATGTTAAACTGTTGCCAAACAGATTGCGCATGAGCATACTTCTCGTCACTTACACTTTCATCGTTTAATTTATTGTAAAATTTTTCAATTGGGGGCAAAGTCTTTTCATTTAATTTTTTCAAAGAATCAATGTAATCGTAACAGAAAACTCCTTTCTGTGTTAATAATTTGAATTTATCTTCATCTAAAGTTTGAAATTCCCTTTGTAAAATTTTCTTTTCTGATTCTGCTAAAATTGAAGCTAATTCATCAAGAGAAGCCCCCATAAATCGAAAAGAGTCTATAAACCGCAATTTAATGAAATTTTCATCTGAGTGCAGCGTAAAGGATATGTATTTATCTTTGTTGATGGGAAGTAGACTTAAGCGACCTTTTTTACATAAATTCGAAATCATAAAGTGACTATCGTACCCACTTAAATTATGGAATATAACCGGCACAACAAACAATTTTCTAAAGTTCAGATTGCATGCTTGGTGTGCGTAACCTCTGAACTCTCCACTGAAATGGTTGTGATCTCTAACGATTATGTCTTTTTTTGTTTTTGAAAATCTCTTACCGCAAATATGACATGATGTTGCCTTACATGTGTTTAATTTTTCAATCACAGGTACGCTTGTTTTTATTTTTGAGTTTACAAATTGCGCCAGCCATACGATTTGCAAACCAATCCATACAATCTGCACCTCGATAGCTCTCGAAATAAGAAAGGCTATCATCATAGCTGCATTTTACATAGAAACCAGCACTATACGGAACGTGTTTTTGATATTTTATGGTTTTAGTTAAATTTACGACGCTACTTTCTTTATGATTTTCTTGACATTCAAAATCTGCATAAACAACAAAAGGAGTATTTTGTTGGTATGTAAAGTTTTTAAATTCAACGCAGCTCTCTTTAGGAAGGTTAATTTTATATTTATTAAATTTAGAACACAGTTTTTCATGTTCAACTAATTTATTTTGCTGATGGAAATAGTTCAGACATCTATCGCAAATAAATTTTTTCTCACGATGTTTATTTAACTGGCTACTAATAAGACGCGAAAGATTTTTAATCCAACAATAGTGATATTTAATTTCATCGATTGAATCATTATCTTCATTCGCTGGTGGTGGTGGAGGGGCATCATAATCATTTAAACGCGGATAATATTTATTTTGAGCTAAAAGTAAATTAACATGCGTATCCTGTTTATTTTCCGTTAATCTTGCTGGTACTACTATGTAAAATGATTTTTTTTCTGTTTCGATCAATTCTAAAGCGTAAACATTGACTGAAATATTATTCATCTTTTCAAATTTTGAAATTTTTGTTAGCAGCATAGGACTATCTAAATTTTCTGTTTGTAAAACGTCAGTAAAGTGTGGATATGAGGAGGTTAGTTCTGCATGTCGTTTATTGCTAGGAGTCCGAAGAGCGCTTACAATGGCCCAGTAAAAGCAATTTTGATCTATATTTTTAATGTTTATACAAGCTTTTTTCCTTATAATCGGTTCTGGTAGTCTAATATAAGATGAACCGTTTCCCAATTGATATTTACTGATATTAACAACTAAGGAAATAATTTTATTTAACGCAAATCCCGAATCTTTTTCAGCAAATTCCGATAATTCGTTTAAAAGTTTATCTTTAACATATATCTTAACCTTTAACTACTCGCGCATTTTTATTTCACGTTACTACTCGCGCGGTGTATTTTGTACACCGTTGCAAGTTATGATCCAAATATATGTTTTGTTTGCCCTATAAGTTATAGCTGTGGTAATAAGAGCAACTGTTGAACTCAAATACATATTTATTAGCAAAAATAGTAAACAAAATCAAATAAGACAGTAAAAATAAATTGAAAAAAACAACCATAATTAATAATTCTCTATTCACTATGGGATCCGCCTTCCTTACATTTGTGGCAGGTGATAACGTTGACACTATGCTCTTTACACACTAACTGGTGACAAATGCTGCATGTAATTGTGGTAACTCTATTTTTTTTTCGGGCGCAGATGGAGCATCTTCCTCTAATTTTTCTGGGTGGCTCCTCTTCTTCATCCATTTGAGTTTGTCTATATCTGGATAGGAAATGTCTGATATCTATAGGTAACGTAGGTATTGCAGCTCTTTCAGAAAGAAAAGGTTTCATCAATGACAGAGCAAGAGTTTTCAGGAAAATTCTTCTGGACTTGTGAGGAGATTCAGGGTGAGTGCCGTTATACAAAATTTGGCTATTGATGCCTGCTATATTTAGCAACTGAAAGAAGAAAGCCAATGGCCACCTTTTTGTTCTTCTTCCAACAGAATAAGTATTGCACATTTTGTCCACTGTGTCCACACCCCCTTTGGTCATATTATAATCTAGAATTATTTCAGGTTTGTTGGTATATGGATCAATAGTGGAGTCGTCGTGCATAGTTGAAATCAAAACCACGCATTTATTTTTTTTTTGGACATGTGAAACTATCGTTACATCCTTTTGGAATCCAAAAAGTGATGACCCAACCAACCTATTTTTATTTGGCAAGAACTCTATCGGCAGCTCTCGCTTATTCTTCTTCAGGGTTCCGATGAAAGTTATTTTGTCTTGAAGAAGTTCCACTGCCAAAGGGTAACTTGAATACCAATTATCGGAGCTTAGATTTCTATTGCTTCCTTTTTGTTCTGCTAGCAAACGGTGAACGATGGCAGTTGGTGTATTAGATTGGCTATATTGGCCATCTGGTTGTTTTCCACAGTACAGCTCCAAATTACTCACATAAAATGTTCTAGCATCACAGAGCACAAATGCCTTCAAACCATATTTCGCAGGTTTGTTTGGTATGTACTGGAGAAAGCTGCATCGTCCTCGGAACGCAATCAACATTTCGTCTATTGTCATAAATTCGCCCATAGAGTAGTTTTTTTTGCAATTACTTACAAATTTATCTAAAACGTACCGCACTGCGGCCAATTTATCTATTTTCTTGCGTTCATGCCTTGTTGTTTTGTCATCAAATCGCATATTTGCCAGCAGAAAAAGAAACCTTTGATAACTCATGCAAGCTCGAAATATTTCTGATCCGGTACCGTCTTTTGTCCATAATTCCAAAAAATGAGTGTGGTTTTGCTTTTTAGATCCAGATAAAAACAGTAAGCCTATAAAAGCCAGCATTTCCGTTTTTGTAACGTCCTTTGCGTCTCGTTCTCGATCATAGTTTTCCCTAACTCTTGAAATTTCTAAATTAGTACAGTGAATAATATGTTCAATCATTTCATCATCAAAAATTTTCGAAAACGCACTTGTCTCATCGGTTATGTCACGTGCGCATTGCTTTGGCCCTGGTAGTATTTTTATAATGTTTTTTATTTTGGACTTGCTGGATTTACTCATGGGATAATTTTTATACCAAATAGTCTTTTTGTCTTTGCCAATATACTTATCTTGTTTATTGGCCGCTAACACCGAGAGCAGGATATCTTCAGAATCAGAACTACTTTGATCAACATCCACTTCATCCACTTCTTCTAGTTCGCTTATTTCTTGTTCTGAATCCGAATTGTGTGCTTCTTCCTCTACTTGTTCACTTCCATCAGAATCTCCTTCTCCTCCAACTTCTTCCTGGGTATCCGTATCACATATAAATTGGGCTATAGCCGCTAATTCATCTTGGGTCAATTTTTGAGGATTTTTCACCTTAACTCGATTCCTTGAATGAATAAATCAATTAATTCAAAACATATAATCGATGTTTAATTATATACAAATATACAGACTACATTACAAATAAGTTTTCATGGAAAACCTAAAAAAAATACATTCCACTATCTACTTACATAACTGCTCGCCTTGGTGTATTTTGTACACCACCTCAAACTTCTTGAAATATCTAACCTTGTCCTCTAGCGATCCGAACCGTACTGGCGCTACATCTGGAACATACATCGAGCGAGGCATACCTGGCTCGGCGCGGACGAACAGCTATTCGCATGGACTCGGCAGCCCTCGGCGCCATTTTGGTGTACTATATACACCAGCGCGAGTAGTTAAAGGTTAAACCACTCGTCTATTTGAGTTGATGTATCAATAATATGATTTTTAGTATTAATATATTTAATTCCCAAAATTTCATTATCCCCCGATTTCCTAATAAACTCCCCGCAAAATGTTGTATTTACTTTGAGTGCACAATGGGTGTTCAAAATATTCCTAATTTTCCTTTTAAAAACAACTACACAATCTGCTAAAAATTGATTCAAGTCCTTATGACGCAAATTAGCTATGGAACCGGTTTTTATTCTACTTTGAAAGCTCGATTCTACATTTTCCCATCTAACCCTCTGACCCAATGTTAAGTGAAGTCCTGCCCCAATATGTCTAGTTAAAATCAACTTTCTAAAATGTTTAAAATGCCCCAAATTTGTTTCTACTTTTCTACAGGTCCCTACAGATAATTTATTTTGCCTTCTACTACGAATTACCCGTTTACATAATCTAATTTGTTTTTCTATTCGTTTCAGCCACACTTCCGCGTCTCTGATTGCAAAATTATCAAATAAAATTTTCCGTAGACTAACAATTGATAGTAGAACACCGTCTGTTTGTTTGATGATCTTTTTAACCTTATTTGAAGACATTTGAAAAGACGACATTTTTTTTTTCAAGCAAACACATTACTCAAAAATATATAAAAATGCTCACCCTGTCCTTCTCCTCCTCCTGTTCTCTGCTTTGTTAGTTTTCCACTATTTTGAATGATGCTAGAGGTCGGCTTTTCCCTACGTCCACTTCCCCTTGGAAGATGATCGAGTATTTTCCGTGAAAAAGTTCGTCGATGACCGGCTGGTACGTTTCCGTCACCCGCTGTGGTAGAAATAGCACTTCCGGTCCTAAATCTAGTAGCACGGCTTCCCCAAATTTCGACTTGACCACTTTAGCTGCTTGGATTGCAAATGGTGTCCCAACTGGTAGGTCCTTTAATTTTCTGATAGGTTTGCGGTCTACAATCGAAGACGCAGCATTAATTTTTGATAAATCCATCTATAAAAAAAATTGAGTCGTCTAACTATTTTGAAGCATAACACGACAGTTGCACTTAGAGACATAAAAAAGAAAAATATTAAATAAAATAGCACTTACTTTTTTTAAAATTTTCGCTCTCTCGTCTCTCTCGAAGCACTATTGTACTGCGGTCGTTGTTGCAGCTTGCAGCGTTGTGCGTTGAGTGTGAAACAATGATGTCTATTGCATGCGCTCGCTCAATATAAATACGTGGTTGAGATGACACACAAGTGCATGAGATAATTGTATCGTAAATATGCATATTATATGCATCATATTCTCAGTACCATTTTTATCGAGAAAACAACATTCATTGCGGTTGCAGTATTTTCTATATAATTTCTTAGTAATACATGAATGTATCGTTTGTCCGGCGGAAATTCCAATTACAAGTTGCACATGAGAGTAGAATTTTAGAAATATAGAAATTCGTGTATGATTATTGTATATTTGCTGCCTAATTTTTTTTTTCAGTCAAGATTTTGATTGGGGGGTAAACGAATTTATATTTGCTATCTGAGATTTTTGACATCATTCTCTATCAAGATGTTGATGTGGGTAGACGTATTATTTTTTATTTCAACTTTCACATACGTGCTTTGCAACGATTTCTCCGAAAAAGACGCTATAGTATACCTAACTCAATATGAACATATCATTGATAATACAACAGATCTCTCTACTTTGCTAACTAACTTGCAAGAAAAGTATAATTTACCAGTGGATGGATTGCTGAATAATGCAACAATTGAATTTATGAATCGTCCGCGTTGTCAATACAGTGATGCTGAATTTAGAGCAAGTTTTCCATTTCGGAAACATGACCTGAAATGGTATTTCCCTCGAAACACACCTGCGGCCCAAAAAGATGCAGAAATGGCTTTTCAGATGTGGCAAAATGTTTCAAACTTAACATTTACAATGGTTACCAATCCCACTCTATATCCTCCTGATATTACTATAACCATGGTTAGCAAGACTCATTATTTTAGAGCAAACTGTATGGGTAATGATGAATGTCCATTGAAATTAGATGATGCTGGCGGCGTTTTAGGACATGCATACTTTCCTGACTCTAGCGGCACCTGTAGAGAAATCCATTTAGATATAAATGAACGCTGGTATTTTGGAAATAATCCATATATACCCAAAAATCAAACTAGTTTTCTTATGGTGTTGGTTCATGAAATTGGACATGCTCTCGGCATAGCACATAGTGCTTCTCCGAATGCTATTATGTTTGCCTTCTATCAGCATGAGATTCGTGGTCTAGATGTTGATGATATAAATGCAGTACAATATCTATATGGAAGAAAAAACAAATATGATTCAATCCCAAAGTCTACCACCGCATCAGCAATACCAAAAACAATAACAACAACTATAAGATCTACAACTCGTAAGCAGCCGATCCTCAAAAATGTGTGTGATATTATTCCAGATTTTATGTTTTTAGCCATTGCTCCAGAGTTTTCAAATTACCGATTATATATTGCACATGATATGTTTATATGGAAACTAGACTTAAACGAAATGATTATCCCATCTCAGCCTGAACTTCTTGTCGATTATGTTCCTACAGAATTACGTCAATACACTTTACAACATATTTTCCAATCAACAAACGGTGACTTGATTACCATTGTGTCTCCAAACAAATATTTCTCAGCATCATTCCCTACCATTAAATTTCTTGATAATTTTTCAATTGATATACCCGATAGGGCTCGAATCAATGCTATTTTTCAATCAAACGCAGGACGGTCCTATACCTTTTATAATAATATGTCATATATAGAATTTTCTAACGATTTTACTGATGTGTTGAACAGAGGACGGATAAGAGACATATTTCCTGGGTTACCTGAAGATATTTCTCTCGCATTTCGATGGATTGATGGCCATATTTACTTTTTCCGTCACGCAACTTACTATAAATTTAATGAATTTACAAGAAAAGTTGTTGCGACCGGACCATTTCATTGTACTCTATTTGGAGTACCATGCCCCAGCGAGGATTTGTTACATCAACTAAAAACTCTGTTATCCAAACTTCTATCTGTATATCATTAAAAAATACATTTTTCAGAAAGCTATGTTTATTTCGTATTCAGCCTGTTGTCAAACAAAAAAAAAAACATTCGGTTCCTTCGACTCCCCACCCCCACCATCATTCTACTACATAAAGTCTGTGTATCAGCACTAGCAGTGCTACAGTATCAATCATTCAAACCAGTCGCAAGCAATTGTTTTGTTCAAAAAGAGGTTGATATAAAAAATGGTAAAACCAAAAATTACCAGCGAGGAGGCTCATTACAAGGCTTTTAGGGAAAAAATTAAAAAACAACCAGAACTGAACCGTGAAATACATAATTTGATTCTTGTCTGTCATGAACCAAATCAGTTGTCGAAGAATGATTTGAGTCGATTAGTATCAACATCTAAAGTACTCCCTGATAATTACAAGAATCACTTAAAACAATCATTCAATCTACCTGCACGACCAGAACACAGCGATATTGATTCAGACGACACTGTAGGCAACTGAAAATTTCATACACACACACACACACACACCAATCAACCTTATTGTTATATATACTATATGTTTCAATAAAATATCCATTATACTATTTTCATTTTGAACGGTATCATCCTGTATAATAATAACAGTACATCGTATACAGGCTATGAGACATTCTGACCGACCGACCGACCAGAGGAGCCCACCACGCTATTTAGGTCACGCCTTGCTATATACGATTTAGCGATATACCGTCGGTCCATCGATCCGCTATTTTTCGATGCACCCCTCTATACAGGTTCTAAATGCCCCCCGTAATCCACGCCAACACCAGACAGGTGCGACATCGGCGCCATCTATGCGCGAGATGTCCAACCCATCAATGACAGGTGTCCAATGACGTATGACAGATGACGTGTAACGCCATCTATGCGTGAGATGCCCAATGACGCATGACAGGTGTCCAATGACACACAGATTCCGTTTGGTTTGACAGCGCCATCTAGCGGCGGAATCCCCAACTCATGAATTTCGCATACAGATTCCGTCCAACAACCCATCAATGGCGCGCGACGCCAGCGCCTCTGGTGGCCGATTTTAGAACTACTGAGATTCAATCCCCATAGAACATCTACTCTAACAGACTCAACTAGTGTAATTTAGGAGGTGCGACTGAATTTATGTGGAACAAACAGACATATAAGGGGGGAGGGGGTGAATTCAAACAGGAGAACGATCAATCGGTAGGTTAGAGGCGTTTTATGATTAGTAAATATACGGCGTGGCCTAACTTCTTGTATGCATGCTAACCAATAAGGATACGTAAAGGCAGATAGATGCAACGTTTTTATATTGAGCTTGTGGACTGGTAGACAGGTCTCTGAATCTGAAACGAAAGCTAACAGTGGAGGGAGAGTGAAGTGGGTATGGTATGTTCAGGGGTTTTGAATGAATGTAAAAATCAATGTGTCTTGGTTAGTTTATTAAAACAAGATTTAAAGAATTTGTATTTTTTATTGATACAACCATTTCGAACATATAGCGACTACGTAAATATAACACAAAACATAAAACTGAGAGTTCAACAAAAAAGGATTACAATACATCAGTAATATCTATCCAAGAGGTTTTATAATGTGGAAATCCCAACCATTTAACTACCAGCTTGTTGCCCTTTCTCCTAATCACCTTTTGAATCAAGTATTCATTTGGAAATTTTGTTTTACTTAGTTCCTTCTCGTAGAAACAGCCTTTTATTGGACAACATATATGTAACTGGATTTGAAATGTTGACTTTGTATATTTTAAACAACTCCGTTGAATAGTTCGATGTATACCCTTTTTCAAAAAGACTTTTGTATTTGCTTACTCTGACGATATCGCCAGGTGTAAGCTTCCCCTTTCCAGCTACTTTTGGATGATTGTACACATTCAATCATGTATGGAAGTCGACTCCGATGGGGCTTACACCTGTCGTTCGACGTTTCTTGTTGTTATAAAAATCACTGCTAAGATATTGATCCACCGGTAGCTCGCCCTGCCTGAAAATTCAGTGAAACGTAGGGGTTTTAGTGATCGGATAGCTCTCTCAACTATTGCTGCTTTTTTTGTACTATATGTGGAATAATGATTAATCCCATACTTGTGCATCACAGCGGAGAATTTGCTGTTGTAGAACTCCGATCCATTATCCGTTTGTAGGTTCTTTGGGTGATGGGTAGCCGTTTGTAAAATATCATCCATTGTAATAGTTACGGTTACCATATCTTTCCTTTTAATTGGTCTGCACCACATGAACCTAGAATAGCAATTGATAGAAGAAGATTGCATTTCAGCCAAATCAGCTTGCCTCAAGTCAGCGAAACACTTTATGATAGTTCTTCTGCGGGGGAAATTCCTTCGAGCCGCCATATGTAGCTCCATGGTTATACCACGTTTTGTATCGCTTACGATGGACATATTCACTACTATGAATACCCTGATGGAATGAGCTTGTATTTGCAGGTATCTAGTTTATTTAGATGGAAGTGATAGGTTTAAAATCGTACTCAACTCGTTAAACTTTTTGTCAAAGTCACGTTTACTTTCCAGCACCTTATAGTTGCAGTATGTCACTGAATCACTTAATACATTGGAAACTGCTGGTCGCATCAATTTACCCATTTCTGTTACAAATTTATTCATGGTTTCTTCAATATACTTTACAGGCACAGCATCGTTTTTGTCCACAGGATCAGCAACATTCTTTATCACTTTTTTTTTCAATATCATAAAATTAGTAGTTAGTTTGAAGCCAATGCCAGGTATACCACGTACGCTATGCCACTTTGACGCGCGACGTCCAAATTTGTCAACGACGCCATACCTCACACCACGCTGCATTGAAGGCATATTTGTAAGTGATGTGATATACTCTAGGTTGACAAATAAAAATATATGCGAATCAACGTATAACACCCTCTTCACGCAATTCTTCTATTATTGATATCATTCCATTATCGTGGTTTGTATGCCCAGCCATTTTTGAGCTATATAGCAGCCTCAGTATATCAATTAACTCATTGATATTATTCCAATATTCATATTGCTTATCGTTAGATATTTCATATTTGGGTGCTTCCAAATATATACCCCGACCCACTGACGATCTCAGGCGTCTGGGCAATGATGTTGATATGATATTCAGTAATTTAGCGAAATATTCAGTTCCATCGTTTCTGAAGTCATATGTAGAACAATATGCTTTACGAAGTACATTAGTTTTAATCATTATATTTTTGAATGTGTTCAAGTTTCGGGAGTCTAAATTAATTGTATCAGACAGTTTGTCCAAAAATATCAAATCGAGTAATTCGGGAGACATTTTAAATTTTATTCTCCCCTTCTTCTTCTCAGAACGCAATAGCAGGTAACGTCCACCAATATCAAAGCTCACTTGGAGTTTGCCTAATAATAACTTCTCCGACTGTGGATTTATTCTCACATTGTATATGCCTCCATACCCTGGATTGTTTGCTTTCAAATTAGATATATGGTTATTTATCAAGTTGGTCAAAGATCCGGATGCTTCACTATGATTTGAAGTAGACATGTATCTACTCATTGAATTTTCTTCATGCGCTCCGAGTACTGAATATGTGTCAGATTGCGTTTGCATCGGGGCAATAGTAGAAAGTTTAGTATGAGTCAAGTCACCAAATGATGCGTTTCCTGATTTATCTGATTCCATAGATTGTGCCCTAGGTGTGCTTGTAGTCGGTGGAAAGATCTGCTCAAATGTATGGTCATTGAATTCACTACTGTTCTCAAGCAACTCAGTTTTTCTTACACCTGATTTTGTCGCATCAAATAATTTCTTTCTTGATTCATCAAGTGATACTTTTTTTACGATGCTTGGACTATCGATTTGGGGTGCTGACTGTTTCGACAAGCTGGATGTAGATGCTTCCGCTATTGTTTTTAGCTGCTTAGTAAGGGGCTCTTATACCTGCTGCAATGCACTATCATGGAATTCACGTCCGTTCTTGATAGCAATAAATTTCTTCCGAACTGTCTCTGCTGCATCTACTAATTCCTTTTCGAGTGCCACTTCGGTGTTATTCTGCTGCCGTTTCTGTTAAGCTCACCCACCAGAAGATCAAAACCGTACTACTCGCGCCATCTAGTGAGCGGCGCTTCAACTCATCAACCGTTTGCTACTGGCCAGGCGGTTACCCTACATGTCACCGACCGTGCGAAAATCAACAGGTTTTTTTGTTACCAACCGGTGACGCAAAAGAGGATGAGGATGATGGTGCCACGAGAGACAGACATTATTCACAAAGTATTGTACCCTACATTTCTGTTATAAACCTTCGTAAAGCGAAGAACGTCTAGTTATTTTATCGGTAAACCCTCATAGTGAGTGCTTTACACGTTGGTCCTTCGAGCCACGATCACTAACGTAAGAAAACGACGAAATAAATAAGCCACGTCACGACCACGAAGCCACGCCACGCCACGACCACGAAAGCTAAAAGTATAGAAACCAGAGGATTGAGTCAGAAATACCTGCTGCAAGTCTGTTCCTTATCACTTCCTCGTCTCGTTGATTCAAAATCAGGTCAATCAGTAGTGCAATTAATGAGTCATATCGTCTAGTTGAAAAAATGATCGATCCAGCTATGGATTCCGGTTCCACAAGTGAAACTGCACAGCAGTTATCTCAGCTGCTCATCAAGCGAAGACAAATAAAGGGTTCACTAACGCGTTTTATAGCGTATCTAGAAAACTTTGGTAAAAGTGAAATAATTCAATTAGAGGCGCGTTTAGAGCAAGCCACGGAATTGTTAGACAATTTCAGTAAAGTACAAGATGAAATAGAGATTCTCAGTGAAACTGAGTTCAAGTGAGAGAGTCACCTTTGAAGACAGGTATTACAGCGCAATAGAGAATGCTCACAGATACACAAAAGCGAGCAAGCAAATGAACACAGAACCTTCATCAAATGTGTGCCTCTCACATCACCAGTTGAATTCTATCTCAAATACAAGGTTTCCAAATATTGAGTTGCCAAAGTTTCATGGTGAATATGAAAAATGGGGTCAATTCAGGGATATGTTTTTGGCCTTAGTTGACAGAGATCCTACGTTAGATAATGTCAAGAAATTCTATTATCTGATGAGCTGTTTGAAAGGAGAAGCCGCAAGAGTAATCGAAAACATGGAAGTCACAGGAGAGAATTACGATCATGTTCGAGAATTAGTTGAAATGCCATCGGTAACTAGAGATCCTAACTCCCTTAGAAAATTAACAGATGACCTGCAAAAGCATTTGAGGTCATTAACTTCCTTAGGCGAGCCTGTGACACAGTGGAGTAGTAGTAGAATTTTTTTGTGATCAAATAAATTCGATCCTTCATCGGAAAAGTCGTGGGAGGAGCACGTAATCTCACGTCCAATTGAATCGCCTGGTATAGATGATTTGATCAAATTTTTAAATGCTGGGTGTCAATTGCTTGAGGCCATATCGCGTGAAAAATCTGATAAATCCACAGGCAGAGCACAGAATACATCGGTTAACCACAAGAAACCTGTAAGCTTGAATAGAACATTTTCGGGCGCAGCAATCGAAGCATCATGTGTGTATTGTAACGGTCAGCACGCGATTTACTTGAGCGATAAATTCAAAGCATTACCAGCCGCATCTCTACGCCAAGAAATTCAAAAATTAAAATTATGTTGGAACTGCCTCCGACAAGGACACCAGAAGGGTGAATGTCGTTCACGGGGGTGTAAGCGATGTGGCGCCAGACACAACACGCTGTTGCTTGAATCATCTCATCACAATGCGGTCCCTGCATCGACATCGTCTGCTACAGAGTCGGCACTGCTCGCGAGTTCTGAATCAGCGGCTACCAGTGGCGTAGCAATCGCTAAGGGTTCGAGTAGCGCAGTACAAAAAAATGATGATCAGTCGACAGGGTTGCTTACGGGTAGCTGTGTGGACCTCAAAAACAGAGTTTTATTATCCACGGCGATAATTTTACTCAAAGATGCGGAAGGTCGATGGCACGAATGTCGCGCTTTACTTGATAGCGGATCGCAACCGAACTTCATCACGAAACGCACGATGGAATTGTTGAAATTAAAGCCTATGAATAGGAGAATACCGGTATTAGGTGTAGGCAGTTCTATTCCAAAGGCATGCCAAGTGGTATCTACAGAGATAAGGTCTACCTGCACGACGTTTTCTACAAAGCAAACGTTGTTAGTGTTGGAAAAAATAACCGAGAATCAGCCGAGCGTATCTTTCGCCCCAGAAAACTTGCGTATACCGTCCAGCGTATAGTCGGCGGACCCACGTTACCATAAATCGTCAGAAATCAATGTTCTCTTGGGAGCAGGATTGTACTTAGAACTATTGTGTTCTGGTCAGATCCAGTTAGGGCCAGGACTACCCGTTTTGCATAACACGGTATTAGTCTGGATTATATCTGAGAAACTTGAGCAGGAAAAATCCGATAGTACGGTAGTGTGCAGTCTTGCCGTTAGCTCGAGACTTGAAAGCCAGATCGAAAAATTTTGGCCCGTAGAAGAAGTCTCTAGACACAAAACAGAAATACCCGAGCACGGTGAATGCGAGACTTTATTCAGAAAAACAACACGACGCGACGAACGCGGACATTTTGTTGTCACCTTACCAATAAAAAACAATGTAACACAACTGGATTGCAACTTACATAACGCGATAACACGATTACATGCAATAGAGCAAAAATTCAGCAAAAATCCATCATTTCGAGAAGAATATGTCGCGTTCATGAAAGAATACGTGTCGTTGGGCCACATGTCGCGAATAGCTGAAACCGATATTACCCCTAGTATCGGGAATACCTTTTATTTACCTCATCACGGAGTATCGAACCCAGCAAGTACAACGACAAAATTCCGCGTTGTATTCGATGGTTCAAGCAAATCAAATAGCGGATTATCGTTAAACGACACATTGAGTATCGGGCCTAAGATCCAACAAGACCTGTTTGACATCCTAGTGCGATTTCGAAAATATAGCGTAGTGTTGGTTGCTGACATTGCCAAAATGTATCGGCAAGTAGGTGTTGAAGAAGGTCAGCGTGACTTGCAGCGAATTGTATGGCGTGAAAACACAAGTGAAGACATAACTCATTATAAGTTAAATACAATCACGTACGGCACGGCATCGGCATCTTTTCTCGCAGTTCGCTGTTTACAACAAGTTGGTCAAGATAATCTCGAAAAGTATCCTAAGACTAGTAAAGTTATCCTAAATGACCTTTACGTCGATGACCTGATCAGTGGATCAGACTCGGTAGATGACGCAAAGCAGTTAAAAAATGAATTAGCCGCTATACTTGACTCGTATGGGTTCCCGTTGAGGAAATGGTTGTCAAACCGCGTGGAGGCGTTAGAGCAAACCGTTAACAACGAATCTAATACGTTTCAGCTGAATAACGATGAGACGCACAAAACATTGGGTGTATTTTGGAAGGCAGAAAATGATGTATTTAAATATACAGTCGAAATAGATCAGTTCGTACTAAAGCGTATCACGAAACGAGGTATTTTATCCGCCATCTCGAAGATATTCAACCCGTTAGGGATACTCAGCCCAGTGACCGTAACCGTGAAGTTGATGATACAAGAGCTTTGGCAATTAAATTTGGCAAAACGATTGAAAACATGGAGAACAGAGTCGATATCAAATTAGCGACTCAATTTGAAAAATCGAAACACAAAATAGGTGCTGAAAATTATATTAGTAAACCAACTTTTAAAGAACACAGAATATTTTCTGAAAACTTAGTAACTATTCAAATGGAAAAAACAATGATTGATTATCGCCGTCCCACAAATGTTGGATTTTGTATTTTAGATGTCTCAAAAACGGTAATATATGACTTTTTATATAACTTTCTGAAGCACCAATATAGTGATAAGGTGTCGTTAGCATACACGGACACTGATTCGTTAATAGTACATGCTGAAGCCGATAATTTCTATGAAGACATGAAATCACACATGCATTACTTTGACACATCCAATTATGATGCTGACAACCCACATAACATGCCTCGAACAGCGTCAGAGTTGGGTAAGATGAAAGGCAAGGTACTGTCTGCCTTTTATGGTACAGGTCTCAAAGCATACTGTATCGATGCTGTAGATCAAGTGGCCTAACGAGCCAAAGGTATATCTAAGGCGAGTGTGAAACATCAATTACATTTGTTACATTATAAAGATATTGTTGAGGAGAAACGGACATCTGTGTACTGTACGATTTATGTATTTAAATCGGAGTCGCACAATATATATATATACAAATTATATAAGAAAAGTGGCATTGACCAGTATGGATGATAAACGTTTCTTGATACCAAACTCAACAAAGACATTAGCTTGGGGTCATCAAGATATCACCTTTCATAACATGTCGGACGAAGAGCGGTTGGACCTCTTGCTGCGCTTAATGAACGAAGCCAGTGAGTTGACTAGTGATCAGATGAAATGATCAGAAATTAGAGCTTTGTAGTGGGACAAGAATATAAATATATTTTTATTTTTTTTTTATTTATTAGCAGCAGATTCATCATGTATACAGTTTTTTACATCATATTAAATATATAGACTTTACAATTATTGTATAATATTTAAATCCAGCTATCTATTCTTAAAATTACCCACTATTGCTAATAGTTTTAGATGCACAATTGTATTCAAAATACTGTGTGTGCACCCCATTCACATTGTTAAGTGTAACTTTTTCATTGTGGTTCTTAATTCTAGTTTACAAAGAGAAAAAGAAATATAAAAATAGATCAAACAAATTCAAAGCTATTATGTTTTATCTTAAATTTTAGGAACTTAATACTTTTAATGCTACAGGTTTTATATTACATAATTAATGGCGTATTGACTATCAATAATCCATCTTGTTAATTTCTTTTTAACAGTAGAATATCTCAATCTCTTAATACTATTTGGCACATCATTATAAACTTTTGGACGTATACAGTAAACGTGACTCTGGCAAGCTGTGTGTCTAGGGTTTTGCAATTTTACTTTTGCATGAGCAGCACTTCTTGTATTTTGGCCATGCTGTAAGTATTCTTTGTAGAAATAATATTTCATCATAAATCTTATAAGTGATTTTAAATAGAGCTGCTCTAGGTTCAGTATTTTACTGTCTCTAAAAACAAGTTCAGATGAATATCGTTTCTGTTTGAAAAGCATAATTTTTATGATCCATTTCTGAGCTACCTGTAACTTGGATAACGTTGCTAAACTTGTATTTCCCCAAACTACGAAACCATAATTAATTACAGATTCTGTTAAAGCAAAATAAACTGTTTTAAGAGTTCTGAAGTCTAATATTTCCCTTAATTCATAAAATTTGTGAATAAGTTTTCTAATCTTTGTTGTAACATACTCAACATGATCTTTCTAAGTAAGAAGTTCATCTATAATTATTCCTAGATATTTCAAGCTCGATTTCTTATTTATATATTTGCTACATGCACACTGAGGTGCAAAGTCACAATATGAGTCATGAATCTTAATGCAGTTTAGATTAGGCAAAGTACGCGAGGAAAGGGAAAAAGTCATAAAATTGGTTTTCTCAATATTTAGAGAGAGCAAACTAAAATCTAGCCAATTTTTAATTGTGTGCAATGCTCTTTCAGCTTTTAATTTGACGGAATCCCAATTTTCACCACTTACTAACATACTCGTATCATCTGCAAAGCAATAGATAGTTATGTTTGCATCATTTAATTGTTCCATTATATCATTTATGTATATTATAAACAGCAAAGTTGAGAGAACCGTACCTTGTGGCACCCCGCATTCTACCTTCAAAATATTACTTTCCTGACCCGAGACATTTGTGATTTGTTCACGTCCAGAAAGATAGGACTTTATGAGTTTATTTGGAATGCCCCTTATTCCCAGATTATCCAAACGACCTAGTAAAATTGGATGTGCCACTGTGTCGAATGCCTTTTTTAGATCTAAAAATATACCCATCACCTTTTTTCCTTGGTCTAGCCCTTTCAGAATACTCTCAGTGACCCTGACAAGTGCAACTTCAGTGTTAGAATTCTCTCTGAAACCAAACTGATTTAAGTTGAGTAATTTATGCTTTTCCAAAAACTGCATCAATTTTCTTTTCAGACATTTCTCAATAATTTTACTTACTGTACTAGTTAATGGGCAATGGGGCAATGGGTCTATAGTTGTTCATGTCTTTTTTATCTCCTTGTTTGTGAAGAGGTATCACTTTCGTTTTTTTTAATATTTGTGGAAAAATACCAGTACCAAACACTAGGTTTATTATGTATTTCAATGGAATACTAAGTTTTTCTTTATATTTCTTGATTATATTTGATGAAATATTATCCTCCCCGCCTTTTACCCCATTCTTTAAATAGTTTATCTCCCTAATTACATCATTATTCGTCACAGGACACAAGAAAAGTGATTCATTACCTCTTTTTTCCCGCACTTCATTCCTCCAAGTACCTCTAGTAATTTCACTTGCTAATTTTTTACCAATGTTACAAAAATAATTGTTAAATTCATCTGCAACTTCTTTTTTATCAGTTATTTCTGAATTAGTTTTGGTAGTGATACATTTTATTTCTGGTTTACTCTCTTGGTCATTGGTGACCTCTCTAAGCACATTCCACAATTTTCTGGGGTTATCCAAATTTTTTTGTGTTAAATATTTGTAGTAATTATACTTCACTTTCTTGATAAGTTTACTTAAAAATTTCCTGTATTCCTGATACCTGTTTAAAACTACGAAATTGCTGGGATTTAGTGCACATTCCCTTTTAAGGAGGTTTCTGTTTCGAATAGATATTAGGAGCCCACCAGTGATCCAAGGTTTTAATTTCTTTTTTTTATTGGGTATAGGCCTAGTTATAGTGGCTTTCAAAATGATGTCTTTTAGTCTATTAATGAAAGCCTCTGTGCAGCTCTACATTATTTTCTTGTAGAACATCATCCCACAACTCTCCGTTTAGTTTTTGTGTGATATTTTCATAATCTATTTTTGTAAAAGTATTAATTTCATTTGTAATGCCCTCACCTAATCTATCTAGCTGAATATTAAGGAGAATGGGGTGATGATCTTGTACCCAGGAATGTTAAAATCGTCTATATTGTATACATAGTGTGTTTCTGACATAATTATAACATCGAAAGATTTACTTAATGATTCAAGATACACCAAAAATTGGTCAAAATTTTGATAAATACTACGTATGTTTACATGCATAAAATTAAGGTCGCTTACAGAATTATCAAAGAAGTCTACTTGACATAGGTTATCACATATGTTTGTTTCTAAGATCTTATAATCATCAAAAATACTGTTTATAGCCATTAAAAAAGAGAAAATTATTACTTACAAGTTCTGTTATAGATCTCCTAAAAAAATTACTATACCTATACTATCTTAATTTGTCCAAATCAGACTCACATTTAATTTTTATGGCTTGCTCATTTTCATTTGTTTTGATGTAAACAGATCCATTGAGGTAAAAAGCTGCCTTATATCCCTTTTGCTTTTTAAGTTCCCTTGCCATCTTGAAAAGTACCCTCTTAGACATTGGCAAATCCTCGTTGAAATAAATCTTTCTGTCACTTCCCTCTAAGCCACATTGCCTTGTAGATATACCCTTTAAATCCTTGATTCTTTTGATGACATCCCTTTTTGCCTGCTCACTTTGCATTTTTAACAAGATAGGTCCTTCACCATTTTTGTCCAATCGAAAACTCTCCATTACCATGTTTGTAGTTTGTATTTGCATAGCTGTAAAAATCTTCATTATACTTCCTTTAATGTCTAAATTGGTTTGTTTTGGCACTCCTGCTACTATCAAATTCTTGGTCCTTTCCTTGTTCTCAAAGGCTTCGACTCTCCCTTCCAACATCTGAAGTCTCTTCTTCAAGTCCGCAGTTTCCTTTTTTAGTGTCTTATTTTCCAACAAGACACTTTCCAATGCCCGCTTTTGATCGTCAAAAGAGTCTGAGATGTATTGAATAGATTCACTCAGGTCTTTGATTTTGCTTTCAATTTTCTGCTCTACTGGTCCTAAGTATTTCAGAAAAGACTCCTTGATAATATCCCTCAATCGCTTTTCATCAAACTCCCAAGCAGAATCACATTTTTCATTTTTTCGAGTTTTTGTTGCCATAACCTCACTTTTCTTTTCAGTATCACAACAAAAAGAAAACGAACGAAATTGTACACGTAACTAGAATTTACAAATCTCTGTTAAGTAAATTTTTGTTTTATAACTCTGTGCCTTATAGGTAAGCGATCGTAACTCCATTTTTGCAGTTTTTGTGATTATCTGCGTATAATTAGTATCCCTGGTTAATCTTAACGTGGAGTAAAAAAAGTATGCTTTACCCACTCACCTTCTTCAGTTTTAAAGATGAGTACCAAGACATACTATTCACTGTTCATGCAATTATGTCATGTAACTGAAGAGCTGTTGAAACAACAGCTCCGACATTTTATGTCTCAAAATCCAGAAAAACGAGAATTTCCAGTGCTGAGTTTTGTACTGGAGGAAATTACAGTACCCGAAAAAGTATCCTGGATTGCAAATGCAGATAGTTGCCATCCCGATGTGCTTTTCAGTGTAATAACAAGAAAGAAACATCTTGACTGGGTGGTACAGTAAACGCTGCCAAGTCTAAACGATAGAGGTTGTGAGGTATTGAGCATCAAAGAATTTGGAGACCTGCTGGCGAACATGCACGGCACACCATCAGCATATGAACAATACTATTTGTGTAAGTTGTTATCTGACAGTAACTATGAAGATGTAGATAAACCACATCCTGTAGAAAATATTACTAAGAGATATAAAGACACTGTATCCCATATCGATGAAACCATATGTAAATCGCATATCTGGCTGATTGTGCATCACTGAAGAGTCTAATCGATGTGATACAGTAGCATGATATTAAATTTGTATTTGATATAGAAAATAAGATAAGACATTATAATGTATTTAAATGGTTAAAGAAAAACGTAGCCGAAGGTAACATTGGAGATAAGTCACTATGATGGAGTTCAGGACCATGTGGTGTGAAATGGCCATCCACCAAATTCGAAGATTATGTTGCTTGTTTGAGTGTCTTATGCGATTTATCCAAAACGCAATATTTCTTTCTGTGTTGTATGACAGAAATATATCATAAATAAATATATTATCATGAATGGTCATTTTCCATTGCACCTGCGCCAATTTTTGGGAGGGGAGTGTTTGTGACTGGAGGGAGTATCGACACTGTATAGAAGTAGCTACTCAGCATCACATACCAGTCTTCTACATTTCACATAGTGTTACAACATGAGTAGTGCAAATGTGCAAGACGACAAGGGGGTACGATCTGTACAAAGTGGTGTAGCTCAGCCACCGTTAATTGTCATCCAGGAGCAACGCTATCATCTAAATCCATACAAATCAAAATGGATCACGATTGGGCGAGCATATCAGTGGAGCTTCCAACCTGTTATCAATATCAAGGGTTTAAAAACCGAGGGCGTTACGTTAAATGAAGAAGACTGGTATGAGGTATTGAATCAAGAAGGCATTATAACCAATTTTTTCTTCAGTGATGATATTTTCCATCCGATCCAAGGTAACTCCTTCTGTATCAGCTTTGCTAGATTTCCAGATTTTCAAACCATCAAAATTGAAGATCGGTAGAGTAACGTAGTTTATTTGGGTAAAGAGACCGTATTGAAGTTATTTCAATTAGCCCCGCTGATTGCCTATACGATGAATATGTTGAAAACTCAGGAGTTCCAAAAATGTTTTACCACAGTCGTCCAGGATGTACAAACCTAGCACATAGATGTGTGAGACTTCATTATGCAACACATCTCTGATTTGCCGCAATCGGAGAACATCAGGACTGCCATGGAACTGGCATACCAATATCCAAACTTGAAGGAATTCAACAAGGCTCCAACACTGAACTTTTATTCAAATTACTTATCCTAACTATTCTCAGTATATTTGTAATAAAAATATTATATTACGTAGAGTGTTTTATTGAGAAAAGTTTGCTATAGAAATCATTAGAGAAAATAGAGGTACATTTTTCATCATTACATCACTTTTTTTAATCCACGAATTATAGCTGCTATCCAGTCCTAAGTACTTGACTAGCACTTTATTATCTTTACGTCGAACCACTTTCTCCACAAGATAGATGTTTGGATACTTGACTTTTTGAAGCTCTTCAGCATAAAATCCACCTAGTATCTCGTCACCACGCCAAACTGCCAATAAGTATGATGTAGGATTGGTATTCTGTACTTTACGAATTGTAAAAATTTTATTGGACCAATTAGGAGTGTATCCTTTAGCTAATGCTGTTCTATGTTTGCTTATGCGGACATGATCTCCAGTTTGATATTTTACACCCTTTGGATCTACCGTTTTCAAATGTGTATAAACCGTATTCAATAATGTATTTTCTGTACGTTTATTTACATCTTCGGGTTCGATTCCAATTGTACTGTGTTTGGTATTATTATACCCGTCAATGACTGGCGATAGGATATCTAGCCATTTGTACGATTCCTGAAGGCTGAACTGCTTCCACATACGACTCTTTAAAGTCCGATTCACCCTTTCAACTACACTTGCTTTGGACTATGAGTAGGTGCTGTAATGATTAATTTTGTACTCTTCCATCAACTTGGTAAAATCACTATTGTAGAATTCTTTACCCAAGTCTGTTTGTAAATTTTTTGGAGTTGACTTCATGTGCGACAGAATCGCCCTCATTGCAGTTGTAACGTCTTTTCCGGTTTTTCGTTTGACTGGTTCTGCTCACACAAATTTACTAAAAACGTTGATGACTACTAAAATATATCGGAATCCTTTGTTCACTTTCTGATACGGAAGCATTTCCACCAAATCTGTCTGCAGGAGATCGTTGACCCCCTCCACAATAACGCGCCGAAGTCTATAATTTCGGCGAGCTGGTTTATGAAGTTCTTCAACAACCTGCTTTTTAAAGTCGATCATTGTTGTATCAAAAGACAGCGCATTACAATATTTGCTATAAGCTGCTCTGGTCAGGGTTCTTGAGATGTGAAGAAATGGAGAATATCACCTTTCATGAGAGGTAGTTGTCGGTGAGACTATTTGAACCAATTGTCACTCTTACTTTTGTCGGAACATTTATGCTATCAACTATCCCAGTCACAGGAACGGTATAGTCGCTGTATGTGAAGGAATAAATGGGTACCACACATACGCTGGATAGGTTGGATCTTAGAAAAGTACTGAAGATTGTAGCAGTGTCCGTCTTTTTTAAGCGGAGCATATGTCTTCCAAATTTATCAATTTTCATCTTGATCTTACAACTGCAGCAATGTAAATAAAGTATATTACGTTACAAATTCATTTTATAATTTTTAATTCACGTAACTCCTCAATTATAGACATAATCTCGTTACGATGTCCATTATTACCAGCATACTGTGAAGCTAACAACAGACGTAAACGAGCAACCAATTCATTTGGATCATCAAAATAGATGTAGTCGATTGGTTTATTTGATAAGTGGGGCATTCCTTGACCTGTATGTTTGAATGAGTGTGTTCGTCGTAACTGACTCTTAGGAGGTGGCGGTTTCTTAAAGGAGCCGGATCTGAGTATGCCCTGCTGCTTCAGAATGTTATGCTGATGTAAGTATGGTCGAATTATATTTCGATATTTGTAGGACGTACTACCCTGTATTTGAGTATTAGGTTCAAAATTTCTGCGATATGCATTTGTGCGACGTAGCATATCCATATACTGATCTAGATCACTTTGCTTATAACCAATTGGTTTTGTTTTTTGAAAAGCAGTTCAGTGCCAGGATATGTTACATTTTGCACCACGATATTTGCTCCGTCTAGCGTAACCGGACATTTACCGCGTTGAAACTTGTCAGAAACAATAATAATATGGATCAAACTCGCCCTCGTTCTCACGAATTGACTCATCAACATATTTTCGAGGTACTGGGTGAAAGCCTACAAGATACTCTTGATATGCAGGTGTATCAATTAGTTGGTGTAATTCTTGCGCCACTCGAGCCACGCTTTCATTGATTTGCTGGTTTTCTGTCTCCAACACCGTAGCATTTGGAGTAAATTCTTCCACGGGAGATACATCTTGATTGCGATTTGGCTCCGGAAAGTTTGAATATGTATCGTCGAGAAAGCTGTAGTTGACAGGTGGTAAATATCGTTGGTATACATTTTCTGACAATTCTTTATTGAATGACTGTCGTTTCTTCGGTGTGGATGTCACTGATGGGGGTGTAGATTGTTCTTCTTTAATCTGCAATTCTTGTTTAGGCCCTTCCACTTTTGATAAGAGTTTCTGCAAAGGTTCTGAGATCGACTTAAACTGTTTAACCGCTTTCCTGGTTTTGACTAGTTCTTTGGCCAGTTTTGGATCCATCTGTCTACCTTCGATGTTATATAAGTACTACCCTAAGATTTGCACAGAGTATACTTATATATGTTATATGATTTAAATTCAACTTTACTTTTTAAAAAAAATATTTGGGGACAGTAACTACTGTCCGTTACAAACGTTTACAATTGAACTTATCAGTTAGCGTACATTACGGTGTCGCGCCGCGTATTGAACACCAGTTTAAATAAGTGACTGTTACGGTGCCTAGCCGGGTATTGAACACAATGGAATGGGCGCAAGGCCTATTTATACTATTGGTGTGCTTACAAAGCACTTCTAGAAAACAAAGCATAAGTAACGAGTTAGCGAGAAGTCGTTATCTGTTGCTGAGCTAGCGTCTGATGCAACATTGTATGGAATAGTAAGTCCACTGTTGTGAGTGCATATAACAACTTCCCCCTATTACTTTTGACAAAATTAGAAACGTGTAAAAGATGTAAAAATTCAAAAATGTAAAAATGTAAAATTGTAAACATTGTAAAATATAAAAATATAAAAGTAGGTGTAATAAAATTGCAAAATACAGATTGCAAAATAACATCAGAAAATATAGATTCTGAAAAATAAAATTGTTAGCATAAAATATGATATATATAGGCTATGCGAGTGCAATGCTTGACAAGTAAATGCTGAAACAAAACGTTAAAAGCAAGGCGTACAAAAATATCATTAAAAATGAAAAGGAAAATTGATTTCTCACAAGTGGAACTGTTTCACTCACTGAACACTACTGTAGTTCAATTTTTTCTTCGTGGGATTAGATGGTCGGTCTTCGTCGTGGAAAAAGTTTGGGGATGTATCTGGCTTTCGACGTTCCTGAGGACGGTCCATCAGCTGGGTAATTTGGTGCACAAATACTGAGCGGTCGGCGTTTTCTGCACTTGTAGAAGATGTAGAGGGCTAAGATGACGGTTAGCTTGATCGGTTTCAGGTTCGGCAAATTTTGTTTATCAGGGATATGGTTGCAGCATTCGTAGGGTATCTCTACAGGGTGGCTTTTATAAGTGATATTCTTATAAGCGTTAACAGAATATCTGGCATGAAACCTTGTAGTGCCTTTGAATCCACTGCATTCTGGCTGCATTTTCAAAAGTGTATTAGCTTTTATCACCTTTGCAGTTGTCTCATGTTGTCCGCATTTCATTGTGATGGGCAGCGGGCTAGATATGGTAATCAACCAAAAATTGGTTGCTAATTCCTGGATTTTATAATCCTGCAGCGGCACAATGGCTATTTGACATGTTGCTGGCAGATCGACCGGATTTCACAACAATTGTGCTTCGCAGACTACATTGTTGTCTATTGGATACGGTAAGAGGTTAAAACAGATCTTGACCTGTGATTGGAGAATTTTGCAACTACCGAAATTTTGAAAGGAGACGTACAAAAGAGAATCGCTATCTTTGGCAACGTATCTCTGTAAGGTAGAAATTACATGAAATAGACCTGTACTTTCATTTGAAATGGGCAGAGGAATCGCCTTCTATAAAGTGTAAACTTCAGGTTCTAACAAGGGGATGCGTAGGACGAAAACTACTTTTGTTTTTGTTTGAAATGCTTCAAGTTCCATTAAATTGAGATATTCTGATACTGTTGCCAAATTAACTGGCATAGGTAAATTGTTTTTTGATAAGGAATGAGAGATTTCTTGAAGAGAATTTACTAAATCGATAATATTAAGCGGTGATCTTTTGTTCGATTTGGTAGTAATTGGTATAATTGGTAGGGATTCGGAAATTGTCGTATGACGTCGACGCGGTTTTTCCGTTTTTTTTCCCGGTTCGCGAAACGTTCGGAAGGAAAGCGATACCGTTTCGGAAACTAGAAACTCGGCGCTTTACCGGGAAGCGGGAGCCGTCGCGGTGAGAGGAACGGATCGGATCGAAAACGGCCGGTAAAGTCGAAAAAACCGGTAGATTTTCGTTCTGTCCGACGTTCAACATAGGTTTCCGCCGAAGACAAAGGAGCTGCGAACCTGGCGATTTTTGCGCGAGAAAGCCCCGGCTTCGGGCTCAAAGATAGCGGCTTTCTTTTTTTTTCTTTATGCCTTTTCGTTCGAAAATTTCGATTTTTTTGATTTCCTCGACTACGCGCTACTTTCCGATTTTACCGGTTTTTTTCCGGGTTCGCGGAACGTTCGGAAGGAAAACGATACCGTTTCGGAAACTAGAAACTCGGCGCTTTACGATGGAGTGAGAGTTGTCGCGGTAGGAGGAACGAACGCGATCGAAAATGGCCGGTAAAGTTG